TAAAAGAAACCTATTTATGGGATTGCTAGGTTGGGTTACAAGAAAACAAGATGCTCTGTCCAAGAGAGCAAACCAAGCCAAAACAGACATCAAAATAAAGTTGCTGAAGAACAGTTGGTCTCCTCAGCAGCAGAGTTATTCAGCTAGTTAAGAGTGATTTCAAGAAAATGCAGGTCTTTTTACATTAACTTAACAAAAACAGGACAGTTCTCAATCAGCATTGCAGTAGTAATTTCACTGGGCCATATCTTCAGTTTTTATGTATCAAAAATTTCTCTCCAAGGCCTGTACGTTTTCTGCTATGTATTTACTATGTAAATGCTTGGGCACAGAAATCAACGTTATTTTTACAGTACTCTTAAGTGAAGCTGAGGAGTTCAGGGGTTTGTGGGGGTTTGTTTGTTTGGATTTGGTCTTTTTTGTTTGTTTGTTTTGTGGAGGTTTTTTGTTTTGGTTTGGTTTGGTTTTTAGTGTCTAAAACTTGCATTTGTGCACTGGTACCTAATTTCTTAGTAAAAAAGCATATTCTAAAGTACTATTGTTCTTACATGGGAACTGCACCTCTGAGGGAAATTGCCACTTGCCATAGGCTAAATCTGGAGCTGGTTTACATCTTCTACAGCTGTACTGAAGCTCGTACAGCTTTGGGGAGGGCACGGGTTGTTCATGGTGCAGGAGGAGAAAGAACCTGTTCGTGCCAGCAGCAGAACTTCAGTCAGCAGGACATGGAATTTAGCTGAGTTACAGGAACAGAGCAGTTTGTTATGGCTTTTGTTCGTTTATGTGAAATGGAGTAGAACAATCTCCATACCTGAGATGTAACCCAGCTCTCCTATTGCACATTTGTACATCTTGAGGAACAACGTGATCAAGTACCAGTTGGAAAATTCCTAATGACATTGCACTAAGCTTTACAGGATCTGTTTCCATTGGCCTGAACCAATACTTAGCAGGATGAGAAAAATCTACGTTTTTCAACTCAGCAGTACTTTTGGCACTCAAAGGCTTTCTGATCAGCTGAAGTAGCTGAACATGCTCTCAATTAAGCAGCAGTCAAGCAACTTGTCAGTGTTCCCTTCTGGAGGTGAGCTGGGACTACGGAGGAACAAGAACTTAGTTAAAACGTGCTCCATCTGGCATTCCTGTCGGGAAGTGTGTCTGTGCATCACTTCTGTGTGCCAGGCTTAGTGGACTGAGGAACCTCCTATGATTTGTAGCAATCCTTTGGTATGATTTTCTAGGAGGACTTAATGTGTGAAACATTCTAGTGCAGCAGCCAAATGCTACCTGTGTTCATAAATCAGTTGGGGTTTTGTTTTTTTTTTTAAAGATGTATTTTTAGCAAGTAAACAAAGCCGTGAAGAAATACTTTCCAGTTATGCAGAGATTAGTGTAAATAATAACCCCTTATGTGCTTTCCTGCAATAAAATTGGAAAACTCGTGCTATTCTGTTTCCTCTTTATTATATGACTGAACATGGATGCCTGCATGGTACTTGGCTAATACAGTTACTGCACATTTTTTGTGATTTTAATTTTTTAGCACTGACGTTGTGGCGCAAAGGCTCATAGCCATTAAACTTTGCTGCTGCTTTAGATATTCTTGAATTAAATATCCTTTCTTAGTGCTTCTGCTCTTACAAACTGGTTTTTGGTGTTTCACCTTTGGGGCGCTGTTTTGAAAATCTTCTGCACCTCTGACAGGTGAGTTGTTATTGTCTGACTTGACTTTGGCATCCTCAGTTCAGTTCCCGGCAGGCAGGGTTGATGTATCTCTGTGTCTGGGCGGATGCTTTACGAGTTGAGTGAGCTCATTACGGACTTTTTTTTTTCTTCCTCTCATTTTTGCACTTCACGAGTATTTCTGCAGTTTGTCATCCCAGTAAAGTTTCTAATTTAAATGGTGTCCATATGCTCCAGGCCATAATGGATGCTGCGGTAGGCACAGCACATATTTTCAATATCAGAATTTTGGCATCTTTCTCTCTTTTTCTAAGCACTGGATCAAATTTCTACCATTTTTCCCCCTCATGCTGTCCTTGAGCTCCTTCCATGCAACGTATTAGGCAAAGATCAATTGCCTTCTGTATTACCAACGGGAATCCAATACTGAAGGGCTGTGGAAAAGAGCTGCTGTCAATCCCTTCTCCACCCAGCCTGTATTTGTGCTTGGGACTGACCATTTCACGCCATGTTCCAATATATGGGAAATCTGAAAGGAAATTTGTATAAAAAGCACGTGTTACTGTAGTTGTTTAAATCTAGATGTTGGCTCTTTCTTTCCATGCCCAGGTTTTTCTGCTCTCAAAAATACCGGAGTTCACGCTCTTTGTGGAGCTGCAGGACCTTGTGTCATCTCAGAATCATTTCTACCCATTCACCAGTTGTCATTTATTTTGGATAATTTTTGGGCTTCTGCCCTGCAATAGCCTATAAGATGATTGATCTCAGAATGAAAAGAAAAACAAAGGGCTGTAGTCATGCTCAAAGATAATTTGCATCTTTCATCTCTGTTGAAGAGGGAACAGAGGACTTCAGATCACAATCAGCCAAGTACAGGGAGATTCTGTTCTCTCAGATGGCTCCAAGGGTAGGAACTCGGTGCCAGTACAGCTGCTGCCACAGGGAGATTGAGCGATCTACAAAGGAAGGGCAAATAATTTGCTAAAAACTAACCATGTTCAAACAGCCCTCACCTCTGCACTGTACCTCCTAGTTAGAGGTAAGGGAAGAGGGTCAAGAATCTGGCAGAGCAAGGAAAAGGCTGACCTCATATGAAAGAGGTGTAGCTTAGTGGTGTGAAAATGTGTTGTCCTGTTTACCATTAACTTTCTGGATTTAATTACACATGGCATCTGTGTGTGAGGAAGCCCAACTCTGAATACATTTAATGGGAAATTCGTATGGGAAATTCAATGGGAAATTGGCCAAAATTCATTAGGCCAATTTGAAAGTAAATAATGCAATTATCGAGTCAAGAGCTCTTAAAACAATGCATAAATGTATTGGGAACAAAGTTGAAGCCTATGAGACATTAACTTGGACCTGCTGTAGCTTTCACCTCCCTTATTTTAAAAAGTACAAAAGACCTAAGTGGGCAGGTACACTCCGTGCAAAAAGTACAAAGCAAGTTCTTGGGAAGACAGAAGAACAGGGCATGCATTTAAATCGGACTGTATGACATCATTGAATCATTTGTGTTGGAAAGGACTGCTAAGATCATCGAGTCCAACCATTAACAGAGCACTGCCAAGCCCACCTTTAAGCCATGTCCCCAAATGCCACATCCACATGTCTTTTGAACACTTCCAGGGGTGGCAACTCCACTGATTTCCTGGGCAGCCTGTTCCAATGCTTGACAACTCTTTTGGGGAAGAAATTTTTCCTAATATCGAGTCTAAAACTCCTCTGGTGCGACTTGAGGCTGCTTCCTCTTATCCTGTCCCTTGCTACCTGGGAGAAGAGACTGACCCCCCACAGGCTACAACCTCCTTTCAGGCTGTTGTAGAGAGAGATAGGGTCCCCCCTGAGCCTCCTCCAGCCTGAACACTCCCAGCTTCCTCAGCTGCTCTTCATAAGACTTGTACTCTGCACTGTACTGTGCAGGTCATCTTAGGTTCCAGCTGACAGAAATGGATTTCCTGAGGAATCCTGTTTCACTTGTCTGAGTTACAATCACTTTTTTCGTTTTATTTCACTTGCATCTTCCATTTTATTCTTAGTAGCAGGCACCAGGAATGCAGAAAGGCTGTCTTTTTACTTTACAGTTTGCTAATGCCATATTAGTGGGACTCCAAAACAAAGTTGAAGGCTCTTGGATGCCACGCTTTGCACAATTCCTGCCTGATGTCCCTTAAGAATGCTGGTCGTGTTGCATTCGGTGTGTCAGTGAGCCTCTTTACAGCCTGTTTGTCCTGGCTGCCAGCTCGCACATGCTGCTGCACAAAGATAAGGGCTGGGGACTGACCCGCTGGGCGGCGGAGCAGCTGGGGTGGAATCTTCCTGGCTCCCAGCCCAGCCGCAGCTCGGCTTTAATTTCAGTGTCAGGGTGGGAGTTCGCTGCCTACTGGGACATAGTTTTCCTGGTGGGAGGCAGAGCAATGGTGTATGTGAGAAATCCTGCACTATAAAAGTGCATTCCCATGATTTGGGAGATGAGCCCGTAATTTTAATGAATTATTTATGGCTCTAGCTGAAAGCAGCAATTTAACAAAGACACTGGTTTGAGCTCTGGTGGAATTTTTTGATGAATCGGTCCCAGCTGTTTCCACCATGTAGCAAAGCAATTTCAGGCACCAAGAAGGAAATCGGGCTTTCAGGGACTGGAGCAGCCCAAGTGGAGCAGATGCTTTTTGGGAACTGACAACGCTGACTCAGGAAGCTGTGATGAGAGCAGCAATAGAAGACAAGGATGGAAAAGGCTTACAGCAGATGATCTCCTTGTTGACACTGAAATTTTGTACTGATGGTGGTGAAACTTAGCAGTTTGCCTTTAAAAACAGAAATCCACTTCTTTGCACACTGCAGCTCCCTGTTTTGGAAGTGGAATCTTCTGTATCCTACGAGTTGCCAGATGAAGGGAAGAATAAAGAGGCTGCAGCACAATGGGTAGGGCTCACTTCTGAAAGTCACCTAGCAATGCAATATGGGCTCTGCTCCTCACATGCCTTTTGGGAGGATGAATCGTGTAGCAGCAGCAGTGTGAGGAACCCACAGTTTTTCTCAAATGCAGAACCTGGGCTGAGCAGTTTTGGTGAAAGTGGCATCACCATTAATGTGCCACATTAACATGAAAATATATTAAAAAAAAATAACCCGGAGGAGAAAGATAAGGTGTTTGCTCAAGTTCTTACAGTGTAATTCACATTCTAGTTTTTTAAGTACTGCACTGTCCTCTCAGCCAAAGCCTTACAAAGCCTCTTCCTATTTGAGGCTGCCTTAAGGCCCAAAAGCTGACAAAATAACGCAAATATATGACCACAATCAAGAGTCAAACCACCTTCACTGTAATATAACAACATTTAATGCAAAAAGCCTTCACACTCTGTGGTTTGGTAGGAACTCGTTCTGCTGGCATTCCCTTGGGATGACCACAGTCTTCTAGGTCAGTGGTTCACCTTCTACTTCACGCCAGGCAAGTTATTCAGAAAAATATCATAGTAGCTACAATGAGCATTTTACCAGCTGCTGCATCACAGAACACAGATGCGGCTGGAAAGGCAGTTCCTGCTGGGTTAGATAAGATTTTGCCTCAAATATAGCTACACTAACAGAAAACATTGCTGTAATTAGGAGATTGCATGATAAAACTTTCAAGTACTCACTTTCCCTTTACTTTTACACCACATTGGTTTTTATCAGATAAAAGGTTTTGAATGATTACTACAGCAAATAAACAAAAAAAGAACACAGTATTTTGGGGGAGTCATTGTGTTCTCATATCAATCTAAGCCTCTCTGCTACTGCCTGAGTAGCACCAAGTGCCTCAGGGCTTGTACAGCCTCGTCTTTGTACTTTCATTAATACACACAAAAATCAATATGCACAGAACAAGAAATAGTGAGCCTGGTGGGAAAAAAGATCTACTTGTATCTGGTAATATTAATAGAAGCCCACCAAGAACAACAACCAAGAGAACTTTTTAAATTTTCAGTGTAATAATATATTTGTTGGTGCAGCATTTAAATCATCAGATTATGACAACCAGTAATAATTCTCACATCCATCCCCAGCTTACCAGCAGCACCTTGCTAGCAGCAATTTAGACTGATTTCCTAAGGATCAACGTTATATGCTGCTGCAAACTCTGATTTTGTAACGCATCTTTCAGATGATTTTAAGCATTTCTGAATAGCTATGTATTGGACAACTCAATCCTCAGAACCGGCAATTAATAAGAACATTCTTTAGGGCCCATATTTTATGTCTATACCCTGTAGATGTTTTCCTCTTTGTCAGGTTCAATAAAAAATTTAGAAGTGTTACATTATGTGATGTTCACGAATTAGCAAATATCCTGACTGAAGTCACCAGCAGGAGGCAAAGTTGCATATTCTGAGTTTACTTTTTAATTTTGTTTTATTTTTAACTACTTTATCCAGTGGTGGCAAAGTGCTTCCTTATTGCTTCAGATCTACCACTTGACTGTGCTCATCAGCTATCTTATGGCTGCATTCCAATAGCCAATAATGTAATTTTGGGACATTTTCTAATAAAAGTATTCAAAACATAACCTTCTGATTTAGTCAACAGGTGAAAAGTTAAGTAACCAGACTACGGACAGCCTTCAGAGGAAGGTTAGGCCAATCTTAAAAGAATATGCAGAAATTATTCTGTAATTAAATAATTTAATTCCCAGCTCCATTTTGTGAACCCTCAATTTGTTTAAATCCTGAACTAATAACTGTCAGCACACAGATGCCTTGGCACCTAAGTTCACGCTCTGTTGACTGTAATTTGATTCAGCAGAGGTGTGTCCGTGATTTGGCTGCAGTCCGGGGAGGTGGGATGAGCTGTAAGGCTTCAGCAGGTTGAGTGGAAGACTCCCCCCACTCTGACACCCTGAGCAGCCAGGGTGTTGTACTCTGCCACAGCCTTCTCCGTTTGCAAGACCAACACATCAATCCCGTTCTTCTTCAGATAGTCCACGGTGGATGCTGGAACCTCAGAAGAGAAGAGGAAATGGGAAAAGCAAGTGTTAGATTCTTTTCCCCTTACACTGGAAGGCTTGAAGAACACTGATGCCATTTGTTAAGCACCACTTAAGTAACTGCTAATAGCCAAAATGATAATATGCTCCGATATTTCTAAGATTGATTTAATTTTTTCTCTTAAATAAAGCTACTTTTATATCTACACCTCATATATCTCCTTAGCACACTTTAAAATGCAGTCCTTTCTTGCAAAAATAAATAGAATTGGAGCTAAAGGTATTTAATCTAAATAAAGTATTACTCATCCCACCAGAAAGCTAAAGAGTTGTTTCTCATGAAGTAAAGTCAGCACTTCTGAGCTTTCTGTAGCTAGTTTATCTGCTGAAATGACACCCTGGCAACATTAGTAACAAAAATGCCGAATTATCAAAGTATTCACAGCAGGCCAGAGAGCCAGTTTATCACCTATTGCAAGAGGAGGGGACTAATGACACACTGAAAAATTCTTGTTTCAGTTGCTCCTGTAGCAGGACATAAACCTGTTTACTGCTCGACATTGACACTAATACAGAGGAACTCAAATGATGTTTCTTTCAGAGGGACCCCTGACAGGAGCTCAGTCATGCTAATCCTGAATTTCTCCGTACTAGTGGAGCATCTTCAATTTAATTTTTTTTCCCTAATGAGAGGGAGAGGAAAAAAAACAGTGCTAGTTTATGCTTCTCACAGAACAAAAACCTACCTGCAAAGCCTCATTCATGCCACGGCCAATCACCACAGTTTTAACATCCTTCTTGACGACTTCTTCAAGGTCAGCGGGCTGCACTCCTGGAGAATGCTAAGTTGTCAGGGAAGGAAAATAATAGTCTGCTATACTGACAGCATCAACCAGGAAAGCTGTGTCTGTGTGCTCTGAAACTGTTCACAGAGCAGCAGGGTAAATTAGCCATACCAAAATGTAACACAACCCTCTTTTCTGCATACAGAGAGAAGGTAACACTAGAAACTGAAAATGGTATTTTATATGCAGATGAAGCATGACAGTTAATCTATTGATGGCTATATTATAATTCCTTATGAAACAGTCAAGAAAAAAAAGATACATTACACATTTCTAAGACATTTATGTCTAACTACTGGCATTTTATAAATATTAACAGTTAAAGTGAAATCAATAAATGGCAACATACTGCTGTTTGATTTCAAATTAACAAAATCTTTTTGTAAGAAAGATTGTGGCAAGCCAAAGTTTACTCACTTTAAATACAAAGAGCTCCTCAAATAATTAAAATGATTATTTTCTTGTTTACTTTGCAAATCTTATTTACCAAAGAGGACTGAAATGTACTGGGTAGCTTCATTTCAGTTAACAGCTTCCATTTCTGCACTATTCTTTATTTTGAGAAAGGAATATTTGAAACCAAGCCCCTCCAAGAAGGAAAGAACTTTCATAATACATTAACTGAGTTTTTAAAGACGCACACCCATTTATTCCTAGCACACTTTAAACATATGAATCCATAAATACACCTTCAATAGTAAAATAAAATATTATTATGTCACACTAACTCTCCTGGATTCAGTTTCTCAGTACAACCTGTGGCTAGAATTTGCCCCCTCTTTGGTGTGCACTTCTATTTTTAAACCATAAACACTATTTCTCCCCCCTTTTTTAGTAGAATTCTGAAGTTTTTTAGAGGTCTGAGAAGAGTTTCTCTACTTCAAGTGAGAGAAACTCAAGTAAGTAAGCAAGTAAGGCTTGTCAAGCTGAAACAAATGATCTCCCGAAGCCTTCCATGGTAGAGTGCAACTTCCAATGAGTGCATTAAGCTTATTCCACGAGAAAGTCTTTAGCCTGGCTGGTATCTGAAGTTTCAGTAACAGAGATGATTCACCTCTATGGTTCTCCAAGTTCACAGAATCACAGAATACCTCAAGTCAGAAGGGATCCATGAGAATCATTCACAGGACTACCTTAAACTAAACCATATGGACCATTAGTCTAATATGGCTATTAGTGCTTAGCTACAGAACCTTGCAGGGCCAGTTACACAATTTTCCTGATGAAAGAATGCCATACGAAACAGCAGTGTGACAGCAGAGAAGGAGAGGACGCAATTTATCTCCAACTAGAGTGTGGGACATGACCAGCACTGCTTGTTTCCCAAACTTCAGTTCCATCTACCTCAGGAAAAACACGCTCAAAGAAAGTAGGCACACTGTAGTACATCATAAAAAAACATGCAGAAAATGCACCTGTTGAATTCTACTGATCAATTTTTTTACACTTCTTCTCAAGTTGGAGATGCAGTCTAGAAAAGCTTAGTTCTATTCTTAATATCTGTTGTCTGCTATTCATTTTAAAAGCAAATCACCTCTCTCCTTATAGCTGCAAGGATAGGACTGACCTACAGCAGGAGCTTTACGGGCAACAAACCCTAAATAGATATTTTTTACTTCCTGATTATATAAAAAAGGACGGCAGAAAACCTACATCTCCAAAGAACCCAACCATATTTTTTCTCCTGCAATTTTAATTTAACATAGACTTGTTTATTCTTGTTTCATTTGCAGAACTCTAAAACTTGTGGATTTAAAGATTTTATCTGTGACATTAAGATATCAGTTGCTAGAAACTTCCAAAAGAAAGCACAACTTCTTAATGTCAATAAATACTTATAATTTGAAACCAAAGTTTTTCAGTGGTTGGAATGAATATCGATCTGTGACTGAGCTGGAAACTAGTTGGGAACTTTTCAGCTACCCTATCTGTTCTGCTTCTCCAGTCCTGTGCATATAAACCAGGAAAACACACTGTCAAACAAACAGTGACTCTCACCACATGACCCAGCCCTTTGAACAGCCAGTCAAAACTTAGTTTTTTATAATCAGACCATAAAGGAAATACATTTTAAAAGGTTACATATACAGCTACCTTTCTCTCTGCAAGGTGCAGATATCTTTGCACGACAGCACCACCTTTCTCTTGGCATAAACTTACTCTGCATAAATTGAGCTCTGATGGCTTAAAAAAGTTCTGTTCCCCCAAATACTACAGTTGAAGTTCTGAAACCAAAGGTTCTGCACTTCAGTTGTGTCAAAATGAATTCAACAGAGCTGTATCCTCTGCGTGGATATAGCTGCAGGTGCTGGGTCTAAGCCTTGGTCAGTACACAGTTCTTCTGTGCTTTAACTTTTGCTTTGAAAGCATGGAACTTTTTTTTTCTAGCCAATCATCTATGCCAGTGCAAGCTCTAATATGGGGAGAATTATCAACATTGAGTTCCTAATGCAATAGATTCAATACTGCTTCTAAATCTGGAACATCAACACTGTTCCATGCACTTTTATACAATTCTGATTGCATTTACAGATAAACTTCAAAAATTACAAGGGCAAGCACTTAGTATAAGGCTTCCAAGAGAAGTCACTGTGTGGTTAGCCAGGCTGAGCTTTTCACACAGAAACTAGTGCATATGACACTGCATCTGCATATTTTTCCTCTGAAATAAGTACAAGAGACCCCAAGGAAAAGGATATAAACTAAACCACACGCATTGTTGTCTTCCAAACATGTAAGGTCAGTGACTCTTGATTTTTTTACTTCTCATAATTTCTTTTCCTATCTCACTCAAGACAACTTTTGTTTAGACGGTCTGAAGAGAGGTTGCTACTGGCATCTTATGACAGTTGCCCTCTTAGCCAGGTGCAGGATGTTGTTTGAAAGCTCTAAGGTGTGTGATTGTTATTTGGTCAGGGTAGCTGTGAGGACTCGTGGCATCAGTTGCTACATCCTGTTGCATGTAGGACACTGTGCATCCGCAGCCCTCTGACCTCTCCACAGTCACCTCCAAAATGTACATTCAGGTCTTACCAGGCAAAGTCTAATGGTTAGATGAAAGAAAAAGGTAACTCGCTGAATTTCTTGCTGGAACTGTTCTCTGGACCATTCTCAGAGTCCTGTTTTAAATGCAGGGTAGTAAACAGTGAACTTACATTAGTCCCAGTTTCTCGCCAATCCCATGTCCGGCTTCCTCCCGGCCATACTTTGCAGTCCTTATATGTTGTAGAGCAGCCTTTCACCTTCATCTGACCCCAAGAAAGGGAAGCAATTTCAGGGGAAGACATCACAAAGTTGAAACAAAGTCTGGAAAAAGGATATTTAATATATAACATCAGGCCAACATATGCAGCACGTTAATAAAAACGGAAAATTCTGTCCTTGCCCCAAGGAGCTAGGAAGGAAACACTATTACAGACTTCATCCACGTGACTTTGTGACAACAGACTTGAACTGAGGATCAGCAGATTTGTTGAATTACCAGTCCTCTTGGGGATTTTGTGCAAATCATTTTATGTGCTAAATCTGTACTGGGTGTTCAACTTTTAAAACTATCAACAGGGATCAAGTGCCAGAATATCCTCTCACATCTGCGTTTTAATCTTCTCCCTAAAATGTACAATGAAGACGATAATAATTTCCTAAAATATCTGAGATCTACACTATTTCTTTGGCTTCACTAAAGTAGCAAATGAGACTAAAAAGAAATGCCAAACAAACAAACACAACAGAAAAGCCATGAACCAAACAGTGGCACTGCCATATTGCTACAGCAAACAAGACTTCCAGGGGTGTAAAGGGGTCAAACCTTCTTTCCCCCATCCCTCCTGACAGAGGGCAAGTCTCCCACAATAGTTATACATCCAAATAGCAACTTGTCTAATTGTTTGACCTCAATCTTCATTGTTTCAACTTAAACCCATTGTTTCTAAATTTTTCTGTTGGGGACAAGTAGAACAGCTTAATTTTTTTTTGTTTTCTTGAAGATTTCACTCAGTTTTTTTTCCCCTTCATTTAGATCAAATAAACTTCCCTTCAGTCATGTTTTCTAAATCTCTCCTTATTTCCTCCTTTTTTTCTGTGGCATCCAGCAACTGGTATGCATCTTTCTTTGATGTCTATTGCCTGGAACTAGACAGAGCCTTATTGGTGCCGCTATAGACCAACTGCTTTTTGGTGTGTGCCGCAGCAATGTTTGGATCTGCTGTCACAGGCACTGCTGGGCACCACCAGGGCAGGGGCTCTGCCTCACAAAGTACTGTGTTATCTCTCCGTGTTATCTCACCACGTTATCTCACCGCGGAAGCTTTCACCCTCCTCACAGTCCCTCATGTTACTGCACACCAGTCCGATTGCTGGTGTGATTCGGGCAGTAGAGGAAAAGAGAGGAATCAGAGGGTGATGATATACGCTGGAAGTGTGTTAGACCAGCATGGCAGTCCACTGACACATCTCAGGGGTAGAGTCACCTTTCCGCCCTTCCAGTTCACCTGGTCTGAAATCCGCATTATGAAGAAAACTGGTTGTTTCTGCAGTAAAAAGAGGCTCCACCTCTGGCTAATCCAGAAAATCTCTGTGGCAGATCCTTCCAGATACACAGATTTTCATCCTTTACTTTTGAGTTGTTTAAATTTACCAGGAATTGAATTGTGTAAATTCATCATAGGAACCCTGGTGGCACAGATTAAAGGCACTGCCCTTGCAAAAGAGAAATCTTTGGATGACCAGGTTTCCAGTCCTCCTGGAAGCCTCCCTTCCCATCTTGCACGTGCTGCAACAGACACAGCACAGCTAGACGGGACATGCTCTCCTCAGATTGCCAGGAGCAGCTCTCAGTATCCGCCTAAAACATTGCATGAAGGAAAAAAGGCATTACTTTGGATCCAGCATAGGACTGAGTTTGCCAGAGGTGCTTCTCACACAGGATAGTGAGGCGATTCTTTTCCTTCTCATTCCTGTGTGACGTTTGTGGCACATATGTCCTGCCGAAAAGGAAGCCAGGCAAGAAGCTACAGAGGACTGGAACTTGCTTGGATTCATATATCCTAGATTCTCTCATCACACATCCATGATGCAAGGGATTCAAACAAAGGCTTGTATGACTCTTTTTCCAAAAGTCTGCCTGAAGGGAGATTGTAGCTGAAGAAATAACCAGCAGTAGTCCCAACAAAATGAAATTGAAGAGTAAAGGTGGAACAAACCCCCCAGAACCTGGCTCTGAAGAATGAAAATAATTTTTGAGTGTACTACTTTTGAGAGGAAATGGTGGAATTAGACCTGGAGGTTGGACAGAGGTGAATGAACGATAAAATGATCAGGAATATCAACTTCCCTAATCCAAACAGTACTACAAGACTGGAACTGTGCAATCAAACAGGCACAAACTGCAAATGGGAGAGCAAAGATTCCACGCTATCTTTTCCAAAGAGCACAGAAATAAGTAAGTAGCAGAAATGAAGAAACAAAATTTACACGGCATAAATACAAATTGGTAATCTAAAACTATTTCCCATAATACTGCCAGAGAATATCAGTAAGGGCAGGCTATTTGAATAAATATGAGTATCTTAGACTAGAGTAAATAAGAATGAACTTATTGACAAGAACTTTGGACGTTCTTTGATGCAGGGCATGGTCCAATCACCAAGGAGTAGGAAAATAGTTCTTGGACAAATTATTTTTTTAAATTACTGACTGTGAGAAATGTACAGTATAAAAACATATAGTAACACTTAAAATAAAAGAGATCTTGAACTGAATGACTTGAAAGTACAACCTAAAATAGCAATTTCTGTAAACTGCGGTAGTCGAAACACAAAGAGACAAGGAGGAGAAATGGTTCGGGGCTCTGTAAGCAAAGTCATGAAAGTTTAAAAACATCAGAAATAAAGGAAGCAGAACTTAAAACGAGGAAAAATCCAAGTTTATGCCAGGAGACTATAGGGAAAGAGAGAAATGAAGCAGTGGCTAAGGATGGCAGAAGACAAAAGTAGCTGAGAACGAAATGGAAGAAACTTGAGATTGAAGTGCAGTTGCGCAAGGGGGTGGATTTTGAGATTGCCAGCACACCTGTCTTCTGTTCCAGAGCAGCACCCACCAATGACAAATAGAATAAAAGAGGTGAACAAGGGCAGTGCACCTGATAATATTTTATTGAGACACTGCAGAAGGAAAGAAATGTTTCACAAAATCCAAAGGGCAACCCGAGACCAAGGAAGATAAAAGTGAAAGAGAAAATTGGTGTACGTGAAATTTTGGGCAGAACAAACCCCTGTAAGGAATCAGAAGACAATGTGGTTCTCCAGCACTGCCTGGGAACAGGGTCAGGAGGTAGAGGTGAGAGAATTCCCATTCCAGGGGATACAGCAGCTGGAGAGGCAGGTCAGGATTAAAAACAGACAGCAGAAAGGCAAGTAGAAAGGTCGGGAGAAATTTAAGGTAGGGAGGGGGAAGATCTCAAGTTTATAAAGGAGGAAAACATATTTTGGGAATTCGGCAATCCCACTTCGCCGGGGAGTCTGGTCAAGACGAATTAATCGGGGAGGTCATGGTGGAAGGGGGTCGCTGGTAAGAGAAGGTGGGGACGGCACTTTAGGAACAAAGTGGGAAGAAGAAGGAGGCGAGGACAGAGAACCCAGGGAAGCACCACGGAATGGGAACGGGAAAAGGGAGAAGGGAGGGTACAGCTCTGGAACCCCTCGAAACCTGGCCTTGCGTGACGGGGCACAAGGACCGGGACCAGGACCCGGATCAGGACCAGGATCGGGGCTGAGATCAGGACCAGTACCGTGACCAAGACGGGGACTGGGATGAGGACGGGTACCGTGACAAAGCCCAGGCTCAGCCCAGGACCGGAGTCTCCCTGCCCTCCCTCCCTGCCGCCCCTCACGCCGCACTCCCTGACGCGCCGCACTCACCGCCCCGAGCGCGCGGCCCCTTTGCCCCGGCGCGCACTGCCTCCACCCCGCCCCCGGGGGGCGGGGGCGGGCCCTCCCAGCTACCGCCCTCTCATTGGCCAGCGCTCCCCACCCTCCCCGCCTCCACCCGCTCCGATTGGCCGGCCCTGCGGTCCGTCCCCGCCCCGCCCCGCCTCAGCCCCGCCTTGTTTTCATTCCCCCGCGCCGCGCGCGGCGGAGGGGAGCTGGCTCGCGCCGCTCTGGCCGCCGCCCCCTGCCCTCCCCTGCCTTCGCCGTGCCCCCGGTGCATTGTGGGATAGTGGCGGCCCGGCCCGGCAGCGCCCCCTCCTCCCTCCCCCTCCCCAGCTCCTTCTCCATCCCCAGGTCCAAGATGGCGGCGGCGGCGGCGGCTCCTCCGGCCCCATCCCCGCCGCCCCCTGCCCCGGCGGGCCCGCGGTGCCCGGGCTCCTGGCCCAACTTTGCCGTCGTCTGCTCCTTCCTCGAGCGCTACGGGGCCCTGCTGGACCTGCCCGAGCTGCCCTTCCCCGAGCTGGAGCGCGTCCTGCAACCGCCGCAGGAGCCCGGAGACCAGGGTGAGCGACCCCGACACGTCCCCCCGCCCGCCCAGCCCGGGCCGGCCGGCTGAGGGGGGCCCAGGGGGCGGGGGGGGGGGCCGGGGCTGTTCCCCCCCCGCCTCCTCCCGGCCCCGGGGGTGGAGCGCGCCGAGGGAGAGGAGGGGCCTGGGATTCCCGGGGGGAGGGGAGCCCTCGCTCTCTGCTTTTTTTTAGGGGGGAGCAGCTATTTGTTGGGGGGGGCGGCCTATGGCAGGGCACGGGAAGGAGCAGGGGCACCTCGCCCGTCCCCTCTCCTCGCTCTCAGTGCCGCCTGTGACTCCCCCTTCGTCCCTCCCCCCCGACGTTGCCCTGGGTTCGTTCTCGAGCTCTGTGCGGGTGGGACTCCTTGCAGAAAGGAGGTATAAGCTGAAATAACTATTTTCGTTCAGCTTGGCGCTGGCAGCCGCTCTCTCTTCCATCTCCTCCCTTCCCCCCAGCTTGGGGGGTCGTTTCACAACCCCCCTCCCCCATATATCTTATATATTTAATGTATCTGTCTGTTTTTGCTTGTCGGCCGAAACAAGGAGGGAACACACGCACAGACGCACACACGAGGGAATGTCCTGATCCCCACTGACCTCCCCCCCCGCCCCTTTCCTCTCTGTGTATGTGGGATGAAGAATGGGGGGCGCGGGGAGGCCCCGAGCCTCCCCCGGCTGCTGTTGTGGGCCGTCTCCTCCCCACAAACACAGCCAGCCATTGTGTGCCACCTCCATCCCTCTCCTCTCCCCCCTCCTCCCTCATCCCCTCTGTAGTTGCGGGGGGGATAAGCTGTGGCTGCTCCCCCGCCGCCACCTGAGACGTGCGAGGTGGAGGGATGGGTTGTGCACTCCGCCGTTTGCTTTCAAGCTGCTCCTCCTCTCCCCTCCTCTCTCCAGAAGCAGGTTTGGTTGCCTGACTCTCTTTAATTCCAGCTCCCCGCGATGGATGCGGGAGGGCCTGGGCCGAGAGATCAGCCCGGGGAAGGAGGGCTGTATTGGAGGCAGCCGTAGAAATACGGAGGGGAGGGAGCTTGTTGCTCTTGATCTCTTGTCTCTGTTATTCGCTTGGTTGTTGCCTCTGCACTCTTGCCACATAGGGAGACCATGGAGCCCACGGCGCATGCCCGGCAAGGCCCCTTGGAAACTTCCTGCTGCTGGAGAAGCCCAGCTCGGGGCTGTTTTTGGTCCAGCAGACCCTGCTTTTTCCCCCAGAAGGCACCCGCTCTCGCCTCCTTCCCTCCAAACCCACCCTATCTGGGGCGTGTGCCATTAAATCGGCGTGTAGGTGTTTCCTCTCGTAAAGGAAGTTGCTTTCTGCCAAGTGCAGATGTCCTGCCTGTGGGTTCACAGCATCAACTGCTGAAATAAAATGAAATAAGATTAATGTATTTTCTCCTCGTGTTGTCTGGTGCCTAGTCAATATGAAAAAAAAAAAAAAGACAGCTGAAATCTGCAAACTTCTTAAAACAGGGTTAACTTTCTGGGAAGTATGTATTTATATTCAGTTCCCCACCACTCCTGTACCTCTTATGTTATATAAAGGACTCATTAGAAAAAATGTTGTTTTGTCAAACTGTTGCAAAACGTATTTGTAAAAATCACCAACGCACTTAAAAGTTTGAATTTTTAACAAAAATAATCCTTTTAAAGTAACGTCTATAAAGAAAACTAATGCTTTTACTGTGACACAATGTCACTGGGTGTGCAATAGTAATTTTCTTGTGTGAAATGCAGAAAAAATGAAAGGATGAGATGGTAACCTGTGTTCTGAGTGTATATACCTTTGATCAAACAAAAAATAAAGTCCTGATGACTTTTAATTGCATGATGGGTGGGAGGGGTTGTCAATAGGATAATGTTTACTGCATAACTCTCTTCTGAAAAGGTTTTGAATTATTTGTGGAGTTTGCATTATGGATTGATTTGGTAGTTGCCAAGTTTTTAAACTTTTCTCTGTTTGTTTTTTCCCTTCCTGTTTGGCAGAGGGCGGGTTATTCCCCCTTCCCCCCCCCAAAATGGGAGGAGATGCAGCTTCTGAAAATATACTCTCTGAAGTGCTGGGTTTTTTTACTTGTGTCTGGTGTAGATGATGTGTTTGGTTGCATTTTGTCATCTCTAAGAAAGAAAGTGTGGAGGTGTGAAAAACAAACTTGTATGATTCTTGATACTTTGTGTGGTGACTGGTGTGACAGGTGTTTTCTTTTCCTTTGATATGACTGGCTCCTTGGGCTTGGTCTGTGGTGCTGGTACCTGTTACCTGGAGTATTTTGTGCTCTTGCAAAAACAGCTGCAGTTACTAGATTTTTCTACGTGATTTTTACTTCAAGTAATCAAGGTGGTGTTTTTAAGGGTACAAGTCATAAAGTTACTAAACCTAGATTGAAAATGGAAGTGGCTCTTTTATTTCTGAATGTCTATTATTTACCAACTGTATGTAGTTTTCCTCGGAATGCAAAAGGGATTTTGATTTTAGTTATATACAGTTAGTTTCACTTTTGATACCAGCATTGCTTGACAGTAGATTTACAATGGCAGTAATACATAACAAAATCTAAGGAAATAGGTACACAATCCCAAAGTACTGGCGTTTTTTCCTGAATTTCTTAAAAACTGGAGCAAGTTTTAAATCTCAACTGCCACATAACAGCTATTTGTAACTCCTCTCCATATTAATTTTGCAATCAAGAAAAGGAATCAATAGCCTAGGGGTTTTTTTAGTTATCTTTAAAACTGTTCTGATTCTCAGCAGTTGTAATTTTAATTTTTTTTTTTTTTTAAAGTTTTGTTTATGGTTGTTTTTTTTTTTTTTTTTTAAACATGGCCTATATTGTCTTGTCTGAAGAGTTTCTCTTGGGAGATGCCAGCAGAAGTTATTTCCTTTATTTTAGGAGCCCCAAGGAGAACTCAGGGCTTAAGTTTGAATGTTGTTCAGTAGTTGTATAACAGTCATATTTTCTTCCCTGTTAATAATTAGAACAAAGAACTTGTTCCTTATTAAGGCAACAAGCTACAACCTTCCCTCACAGGAAGGGATGCTGAGCAGATGTTGACAGCTAGGAAGCTATCAGTCATTTCTTAGAGGGATTTTAGATTTTTTTTTTTTTTAGTGCTTGGACAGCACTTAAACTTTGCTGTATTGCCTCTCCTAGCTGAGAATTTCAAGACAAATAGTAAGGACAGCAGCGCTTGGGTATGAATAGTTTTCAAAAGTAGTCTGACTAGTTTAGATACCAAATTAACCTGAATTAGTAGCAGGCTAGATGTTTTAACCGTGTGTACACAGGTATGGTCTTAAGGTGCACAAACCAATTTAAACTGTTCTTTGGGATTTAGTGGGTAACATAAAACATACTTGAATAGAAAGTAAGAATGTGTGGTGTTGATTTCACCCATTGCTTTTTAATAGTGGGATAAACTGGTAGCCCTGGAAATAGTCTTCGTACAAAGGCTGTATGATAAAACAGCTCAACTTTTCCAGCTGGTGGCTCATTTGAAAGTTGTAGCTATTCAAACAAAGTAATAAGACCTGTAGTTATCTGATGAAGATTTTATTTTATGACGAATAATTATCTTGCCTTTATGAATGCTTAGTTTTAAGTACAATGTCGTGACTTGGGTTGGAATTATGACAAACTTCTTGGGAAGGAGTGAAGTTGAGTGTCTGTCAAGATGGTTAACAGTGTTAACTCACAAAATTCGCTAGTTTATGTGCCTCAAAAACTAAATGGTTTCTTGTAGGTTTTATTAAAAAGCCGTGTTTTAACCCCAGTCAGCAACTCAGCCCCACTCGGCTGCTTGTTGACTCCCCTGGTGGGATGGGGGAGAGAATTAGAAGAGTGAAAGTGAGAAAACCAGCGGGCTGAGATAAAGACAGTTTAATAGGGAAACCAATATGAGGAATTTATTCACCCCAGCCCACTGGCAGGTAGGTGTTCAGCCATCTCCAAGACAGCAGGGCTCCATCATGTGTATGGGTGACTTGGGAAGACCAATGCCATCACTCCCAGTGTTGCTGTCTTCCTTGTTCTTCCCTCAGCTTTTATTGCTGAGGATGACTCCATATCATCTGGGATATCCCTTGGGTCAGTTGGGGTCAGTTGTCCTGACTGTGTCCCCTCCCAGCTCCTTGTATGCATCCAGCCTCCTTGATGGCAGGGAGGGACAAGGAGCAGAAAAGGCCTTGGCTCTATGTAAGCTCAGCAATAACAAAAGCATCCTGGTGTTCACTGGCACAGGTTGCCCAGAGAAGCTGTGGCTGCCCCATCCTTGGAAGTGTTCAAGGCCAGGTTGGATGGGGCTATGAACAACATCTGGTCTAGTGG